AACTTCTCTTCTCCCAAAAGATGTTCTCCCACATAGGACTTCTGCAAAAAACATAATATTTGATAAACAAAATGGAGAAAACAGCCCATTCAGTAGCACTCGCCCGTTTTGAGCTTGTACCCACACTGGCCATACCAAGCAGGTCCCAGGTCAGCCTGGGAAACAGGCATCTGAACAGATCATGTAACTCTGTAATTTACAGGGAAAAGTCAATGTTTGCATAGGGATTTCAGATAAATTAATCGCTGTTTACATAACACTTTCATACAAATTACATGGCACAATATTTCGTATTAGAAAGAAGTGAAAATTGATTATCAGTTTTCAGGTGGGATTTAAAAAAAAATAATTTTCAACCACTAAACCCTTTCAAAAAAAGAAAAAAGGGAAAAATCCTTTCTGATTCCTACAAAATTCCCTTGATAGGGATTTATGTGGATCTTCTTTTTGGAAATCTCTGTATTTTCAGGTGTCTGGCCTCCGGGAGTTCTGCCTGGCAGATAGCTCCCAAAAGCAAGGGAATTTTAACAGAATAACAAATGTTCTGCTACAGGACATAGGATTTGATATAAATTCATAAGAAGGACTATTTGTTGTAGAAAAGGGAAAAAGGAATGTGACTGCACTGAAAACATCTGATGCTTTATTTGGTTTTCTGAAGCTAGTACTGACAAAGGTGCGTAGATAAGTAGAAGTCCATTGCTTTGTAAGAGGATCCCACAAAATCCAATAGCAACAGCTAGAAGTACAACTTTGCTGTCTATTAATGCCGGTTGCCTGAATAAATGAGCACTAGTAACTCTGCCATGGAAAAAGTACAACTGTTTTGGGAATATCTGAAAAGAGCAAACTCCTAAAAAAAAGCCCAACAAAATCTCAAATCCCTAAGAGATTATGAAGATCATCTGAGTGATCTTTCACATAAAAGCCCAGTATTCCTAATAATCCCTGTTGTCATGCTTGAATAATTAACCTTTCACTCAGCATTCGTTTCCTCTACCTAGAAGATGTCATGACTCTGCTTAACTTGATTTGATGGGTTAGTTTTGGTATGGTTTTCCACAAATCTATACAGAATTTTTTAATAAATTTTTTAAGATGGAAGCTTGCTGTAAAAAGAAATCAAAATTAACTGCAGCTTTATATACTGAGCACAGTGCAGTGTATTAAGTGTCTTTAATACTGCCAAATAAGTGAGAACTAAACATGTGGTTCCATGTACTTTTGCATGGAAGTCAAGCAAAAGAAAGATATTTTTTAACTTGGATCATTTCACTGATGTGATGTACAATTCAACCTTAGAAACACTTGCACATATCTAACTAAAAGGGATAAGGGACATGCAAATGAACAACCTTTATTTGGTTGGGGAGGGACCTTAGCATTCAGTTCACTTGGAGAAACAGGTACACCAGAATACACTCACAGAATATCTAGATTTGTATGGTCCAAATTTTTCTCAATCTGTTAAGAGTGGCAGGGAAACAGAGATGCAAGTAGCTATTTTTTCAGTAGCTATGCTCTGTTGTAACCATACCCAGAAACATGACACTCAAATCAATTTTGAGTTCTTTCAAGAACAAGTCTCCAAGTCTCATAAGCTCCTAGTAACATCCTCACATATTCTAAGATTTTAAGTCACAGAGCATTATCTCTTCATCTCCCAGCAGTATACCATGTTTCAAAAGAGGACTTACTTCAAATGACAAGGAAATGAGCATATGTATTGTGATTAAATCAAGGCATGTGTTTGCCCCATTGCTGGTAAGGTTAAATGAAGTAATTCTTGTACCTCTCCCTTTCTCCATGAGGGAAGACTAATTAATTAAAATTCATAAGGTAATCACAGCTCAATAAAACTGACATGCATTTCTGCCTGTCAAATTTAAGTTTTTGCAATTAAGTGCACTGGGAAGTAACACAGAAGGTCACATTTTGCTAAAATCAGTGATGTTTTCACAGCAACAACGATAAGAAATGGAGGCATACATGGTTTAATTAATAAGAACAAGGCTTCTAAATGGCACACCATGAGTCACTAAGTTACTGGCAGCTGTCACAGTACCCTACTGCTGCTTCCCATGCACTCCCCTCATGGTCTTTATGTGCCTCTCACATCATCCTGTAGAAGAAAAGATGTCCCAGTGAACAGGCCTTGAAGATGCTGGGACAGAATTCAGTGAAGAAATGGCTTCTTCCAAGGCACAAGTCTTTGGTTATTTGGAACCTTGCTGCATGATCTTTTTTATTTACACATCTGAAGAAAACAAAGAATCAAACCCAGCTGCAGTGCTGAAACTCACAAATAACTCTTCTGAATGTAGCAGAATGGCAGCTGGACTAAAATGGCTCTTAGTCTCTTACACTCTCCTCATGTTAGCTTTTAGCTCCAGTGCTGGCTTTCAGCTAACATGCGATTCAAATATTTTGTTTCAAAAAGGCCAGGGAAATTTCTGCAGCATTTTCAGAAATACTCAGCAAAATATCAGTTCTTATCAGAAAAGTCAACTTGCTGAATGCAGTGAATCAGTTGTGCTAATCAATACTAGACAGAAGACTATTAGCTCAATGCTTTTTTTAGCTATCTTTTCCAGCTAGATATAGAAACCTGATCATCAAGCTCTGACCTCTCTATGTACAGTTCATTATATGACAGTTATGTTTTATTAATTTGTACTCCTAGAATAGAGATCCACGGAATTAAATATCCAAAAAAGGTAAAACTTCCATGTGAACAGCGAATGTCTGATGTAAAAAAATGTAATAGGATGATCAATTTTTGGAAGACAGAACTACAGTACTGTCCAGACATCTCTGAAACTGTCTTTGTAACTAGGCTAACAGGTAAGACACATCAGATACTGCAGTAAGTGAAAGAAAACTGCTTCTTTTTCAAACGACACCACAAGCCAGAACCTGGGCAGAATCAAAGACTATAAAGACTTGAGGGTGCAAGTGAAAAATACTGGTGCCCAAGTTATCTTTTATTCCATTCTAACAGGTAGAGAGGATTCAGCCAGAAATAGATGTATAATGCAAATCAGCTCCTGGATTCATGACTGGTGCTGTCTTGAGAATTCTGGCTTTAATGACAATGGGACATTCTTTGATGACTACAGCCTGTTAGGGAAGGATGGGATCCACCTGTCTAGAAGTGGCCAGCTTGGTGAGGGGGGCTTTCAAATGAAGTCACTCATTGGTGGTATCCGTAGTGGCATCACTCATACCATCACATCCAACTCACGAATAAGCCAGGCCAGCCAGAGCAGCAATGAATGCTCCTTAGCTGTCTCCTGAGATGAGAACTAGAAAGCCAACCACCTCAAGAGTGTGTACGGCTATCACAAATCTTCTTGCACCCCTCCTGAATAGTGTGCATGCTCAATTACCTCTCTGAAGTGTCTGTACACCAACACATGCAGCATGGGGAATAAACGGGAAGAACTAGAGATTTCTGTACAGTGCAGGGACACAGTCTCATTGCAATTAGAGATATATGGTGGGATAGCTTGCGTAACTGGAATGCTGTCATGGATAGCTGCATACTTTTGAAAGACAGACTAGCAAGGCAAGATGATAGAGTTGCTCTTTGTGTGTGAGAGTAACTGGAAGGTATCAAGCTCTGCCTAGGGGTGGATAAAGAATAAGACAAGAGGTTACGGGTAAGAATTAAAGGGCAGGCTGACATGGGTCTTGTGGGCATTTACTACAGGCCACCTTATCAGGAAGAGGACAGAGGCAGATGTTACTGCCAAGCCACTTTCCGTTATCTTTGAAAGACTGGAGAACAAGTTTATAGAAAACGAGAGCTTCCTGAGGACTGGCAAAAAGCCAGTGTCACTCCAGTCTTCAAAAAGGGCAAAAAGGAGGACCTAGGAAATTACAGGCCAGTCAGCTTCACCTTCATCCCTTGAAAGGTAATAGAACAGCACATCCTGAATGTCATCTCTAAGCACATGGAGGAAAAGAAGGTTATCAGGAGTAGTCAACATGGATTCATCAAGCAGAAATCATGCTTGACTAATCCAATAGCCTTCTATGATGAAATGACTGACTGAGAAGACAAGGGGATGCTGTCTATCTTGATTTCAGCAAAGCTTCCGACGGTCTCCCACAAAGTATTTATACATGTTGCAATATGAAAACAAATCACAGGGGTTTTAAGCAAGTGCAAAGGGCCTTGTAATCTTTGAATAAAAATCATTCTTCTACTTTATGTAATTATTCATTTCCTTTAATTTGATTTTCTGCACATCCTATTTCTCTCCAGGGTTTCAAAGGGCTATTCCCAACTAAGCAAGCCACCTGGGACACCGAACAAGCTGCCCTCAGACTACTTGCATGTCATTTGCTTACAATCCTGAAGAGGGTAGAGTTGCACAACGCACGCCTACATCTCTCCCAGAAACACGGTACCTCTGGGACACGTTCAACTTGGAAACCAAAAAAAAATGATTGATCTGTGTCCATCCCCACTGTCACACTATTAGAAGTTTAGGACATAAAAAGAGCATGCAGAGTTCTGAATCTCACCTCCTTAGTCTTCCAAATAAGTTATTTAAATACATTTCCATGCAATTTGCCACCATGTTAACAAACTACAGATAAGATAACTTAGTTTCTGTCAGGTCAAAATCTATCAATACTTCTGTAATTCCACTACATACAGAAATTTCACAGCAAAAGACGTGTGATCTCTAAGTAAAAGATGTTATCCCACGAATCAACCAGAGCAGCATTCATGATGTGAGCCACTCCCACTAACCAGACCTACATTTGAAGTAAATGCAGTTTAAATTACCAGCACACATTCAGGAATCAGCTATGATTAATGAAGGCTAACAGGAAAAGAAAAACCACTATGACGTAATGGCATATTGAACTGTATACTGGTAGAGCATCTTTTGTAATCCAAGAAACAAACCCTCCTGACTTAACATTCTCTATTTGGAAATACAAAAGTGTTTCTTAGCTCATTGCCAAACAGCTTTCTAAATTACCTGAATTCATTTTTATGCATTTCAGCTATTTTCTTCTCGAGTTTTTGTGACTGCTTGGGAAAAATCTTAAAATCGCTGATGTAATTCTCTGGGTGTTCCTCAGGATCATAATCACCAAGCTCAGCTAAACAGATCCAAAACACAAGAAAAAGAATACATAAATTCGATTTCCACATTAGTTAACATTAAAAAAAGTCAGTAAATATCGTGTAATTCAAGATACTCCCATGATTGGTAAGAATCCAGCATCTCTCAAGAAATGCTGCTTTAAAGAACCAATAGTTAACTGAAACAAAAAAAATCCTTATAACTGCCCTCCAATCAATGAGTTTTAAGTGAAGTTCATGTTTATTAGCTGCAGCAGTAATTAGCAATCCTAAACTACTTTCTGTGTCAGAAACATGCTGTGTAAACCAGAGGCATAGGTAATCTTTCTGCTTTAAGTACCTGCCATTCTGGTACCAGGCAGAACTGAAACAATGCACCTCAGATTCTCCTCTTTTTTACACCAATTTATCCTAGCTGATATGTACTGGTTTAATTCTGTTCTAGCAGAGAAGCACAGGCTGCAACATTATACACACTTGTCTATAGTATTTTATTCCTCTTCTAAAAGTTGTGTCACTTAGGTACCCAAACATGGCATTTAGTGGTTTAGCTTTCTAAATAAGCCTCTTTTAATAAAGTCCTGACACAGTCTTGGTTTGGATACTCTGCCTTATAACGCATTAAGACCTTCATTCCTGTTAAGGCAGAAGGAAGGGAACTTCCACACATACAATGTGCCTAATCAGACATCCAGTTATTTCTCTGTGTGCAATTCAAGACATATTCCTGTATTTCTAAGGAAATGAAGGGGAGAATTAAAAACAATTAAGAACCTTTCTCCTTGAATTACATCTACTCTTTTTCCCAGGGATTGCATCATTACAGAGGTCTTCCATACTCTAAGAAAGGGCACTGAATGACACTTTATCCTGCTTAGGTCAAATGGAATAGGAATTTACATTCAGGATTCAGAACAGAATTTTGCTTTGTTTGTAAATGCAATCTAATATTAATGCCATAATTTTTCACTTTAATTCCAAGATAACCCATTAGGGTTTTTAAATTCCAGCTTGGTTTTAATTGGCTAAATGGCTGAATTACTTGAAACACTTTACAGTGCACGTCAGCGTAGGGAAACAGTGCAATGACAGCAACCAAAAAAAGGCTATTGTTAGCTATATTCCTGCAACAGTTTTGAGTTTCTTTTTATATTGAACACTCCTATCAGTTACGTATTTAAAAAAGCCCGCTGCTTGTACTTACCTTGGACAATACAGGCACCCAGGTAGGCAGCATCAGAAAAAGAACACAGCAAACGGCCATGGAAAATATCCCTTTTTATTTGTAGGTATAAGAGGTACCTGAAATATAGTTAAAAAAAAAAAAAAAGGAAACTATGTGGCATCTTTTTGTAACACATTTAACTTACCAGTGTGAAAACAGCTGTATGTCTCTCTGAAACCCTTCTGGATCTCTCTGTTGCCGCCTTAAATGGCAGGAAAAAGAGGCAAAGTGCAACCACAGGGAAAACTAGATGTAAGACAAAAGATTTTTCTCAATAACAATAAGTAACAAAACCCCACTAACAGCATGGAAAGTACTTTATCTAAAATGTACACCTGTTACAATGCTCATCAGTAATCTGAAATAAATTACAGCGTGTTTGCTTGAGCACACCCCCTCTCACTAAATGCAGGTATACACAGGAAATCTCTCTCTATATCACTGTACACAAAATAGCACATCGGCCACAGTGCAGAGGATTTCTCTCCTTTTCTGTTTTTTAATCTGCTAAGAGTCCTGGATGAAGTTTTGAGGTAAAAGCACCTGAGGCCCAGGAAGCATTGGGCACAGGAGCCCTGCCTGGAAGAAACCTGTCCCATTCCTCTCAGAACTGTTCTACCTCCAGGAGGACTTGGGAGAAGAAAACAATAGCCTCCTTCTACCTGCCTTCCGACTCCTACCACAGAGCAGCATTGTTTCTAGCAGCAAGAGTAGAAGGGCAGCCACAAGGCCATCACTGTCTCTCCCTTTCTCCCCTGGAGAGCAGCCTCCCAGAGATGGACCAGCTCACAGCCCAGTGATTCACTTGGAGCTCCTTTCCCACCCACCTAGCTAGTTACCATTCAGCAGCTTCACCCCTGTGGGAAAATTAAACCAGCATTGCTTAAGCCAGATAAAGTCAACTATTTAGAGGGTGCTATCAGACTCAATGGCTTCTGCTAGGGACTTCGGGACATTCCTTGATGCTGCCAGTCCTCTCCAACCTTGAGCTACAGTGTAGACAATAAAAATGTGCTTTATGAATAACACTGATGTCAGACATATTTTGCCCAAGTTACTTGGATCTGTGTGTATCATAAGCTCCTGCACCAAGTAGCTTATCTGAAGCTTACAGTGCATTCTAGATGTAAGACTTGAAGCAGCATCTATGTGAAGAGCAAGAGGAATTTTCTTCCTTTCCCTGGGTTGTTACTAATTGCTACATAAATATGAGACAGTTACCACAGAGAAAAGCAATTAGTTCTCACTGTGAACATATCCCCTTACTCTATTACAGTATTAAAAGTTTCTACAGGACCCTTGCACTTCAAGGCCTTTTTCTTTTATTTTGCAACCCCCTTTTTTTCCTGTAATTAGTGTTCAGTAACAGCTCACTAATTCACTGCCATGATTGGGTGCTACAGTACAAGCAGTTCCCAGAGGATAACTGCATCAGGATGCACCAAAGGCCTCAATGAGATGCAGTAAAAATTCTTAGTCTGCAATGACAGCAATGACAGTAGCCTGCAATTTCCAGACTACCGGAAAAGGCTCAGTATATTGATACAAATACCGTACATAACCTGGGCAAATGAGCAGTCCACATCCCAAAACTTTTGGTAAGTCTTTCCAGGGAGAAAAACTGGGTTGTGGTTCTTCAGAATGACCAGTAGCCTGAAGTCAGACTCAGTTCACCTTTTAAGAAGTGCCAAACCCATCCACCTGTGAAAGCGCATCCCAAGACTTCACAGCATGGCTTGTTACCTGAGCTGTAAGGTGAAAAGATCTCCACAACACCACACACCTGTGGCTCCTGAGTTTTAAAATTACCATAATGACATACAAAAGTAAATAGGCTTCTGGAAAAGAATACTAACCTACTGCTCCTGACTGACATTTGCAGACATGAGGCTGAGACTAGAACTAAGAATTTCAAGTCTCAGGACTATGCCAGGTCTGACTCTAGAGCTGTACTGACGGAAGCAACACTATGAACTCTTAACTTTTCCATTAATATTTTGGTATTTCAAGAAGATAAAATAGTTTTGAGGTAATTATTTCCCATGTATCAGAATTGGGAACCAATACTTCACACCCTGCATCTACTACAAAACCATCTATTATCTTCAAAGCCCAGGGAGAAATGGAAAATGTTTCAGAATTGACTCAAAGCATCTACTCAGGAGTTGGGCAGCATCTCTCTGTCTCCCTGTCAGATGCTACGCAATAAATCATAAGATTCCTGAAGTGAGATGGCAGGGAGTCCCTTTCCCCCTCCAATATACAGTTATTTTATGAGAATAAACCTGAAAACACACAGACATTAATTCATTAGAATCCAATCCCCCCCTTTTATTTTTTTTTTTAATGATAAATACAGCCATAAATACACCAGTTTGTGATCAATCACTAAGATAGCACACTGGCACTTAGGATCACAGGCAACAGCAGCAGCATCAGAACCCCCTTGGAATGAGGGCAAGAACTCATTTCTAGGCATTCCACTAAAATTCTGTGTGGATGAACATGGGAGTCTGGCTGGGAGTGTAAATACTTGCGGTATTTCTAAGCAAATAGGTTGCTGCTGATCAAAGAGTATCAAAGATCCTCAGTGTTGTTATTCAATTTCTGCATCCATAATAGTCTCAAGCCGTCTGAGCTAATCTTGAACAATAAATGCACATTTTCCCTGTAAGAAATGAGTTTTTTGCGTAAGCCTGCTTGCAATCTGAAACTACCAAAATCTGTCAAAAAATACTCCCCAAAGTTGGTTTTATTACAATATAAAATAATGTATACTCTTTAATCTAAATTGTCAATATATGCATTTTTGTCAATTACATGAAGCTAATAACAATGTATTATTAGCCATTTCCTCCAGCTAAATCACTGGCTCTGCAAGTTGTTCAGAATTAAAAAAACAAAAAACAAATAAATGAACAATTAGAAATAGCAGAAAATTTCCATTATCATTTTTCAGTAACTTCAGCATAATATATTTTTCATTGTCTTGTCTCCCTAAGATAACAGAAAATACTTCCTTTCTGTAACAATTAGGAAAACAGAAATGCATATTCAATTTTTGCTGAGAGGTATATTAACAGAAAATAGATAAGAGTAACCATGGGATATATAACTGAAAGAGCACGTAAGATACAATTTTAGGGAAAAGAACATTTGTGCCTCAAAGCTGATTTCTTACCAGTGATCATCCTGGGATGACAGAACTGAGCACAAGCTTCTGTCACAAACGTGGGCCACAGATGTTATTCATCTGTCTTTGCTTTAAAATATAACATATATATGTAATATATAAAATATATAATCCCTAGTGCTTGCTAGTCTCAGGAAGAAGCCCTGGCTACCCTCCCTTGCATGAAAGGGGTTTAGCTGTAGTCTCTTAAATGGTTCATGTACCTCCCTATTACATTAACAATTTTTAAAACAAAAACACTGATGTTTATTTTTTCTGTCACTAAGATTCTGTGCCACTGAGTTCTTGCATGCATTTCACCATTGAAATCCTTAATTAAATAGTCCAAAATTGTACTTCCAAAGAATTATGTGTATGAAATACGAATGTATGGAAAAAAAAAAAAAGAAAAAAAGGAAAATATAAAAAACAACTCCAAGACAGAATGCAGCAGCCAAGAAGGCAAAAGAGGCACAGAGCACGGTTCACAGTGGAGACTGGAGAAACTGTTAGATAGGACACAAGACAAGCACTTACACTCCTAAGGAGGGCAGGGAATTACCCATGCAGAGCAAAATCAGAGTCTAAATATGTTTTCCAGAGACTGCCCACACAGCAAGCTGTAGGGGATGCTGTTTACCTACAAAGCAAGAAGGGCAGTTTGGAACAAGACTAAGACACTAATGAGTTCTTTCAAATGAAGATCTATGCATTTTGGACTAAAAGCTGATCTTGCAAGCTTTGCCAGAGGTTGGCTTTACCTCAGACACTTCCTATAATCCTGATACAGTATTTTACGCCCCAGGTCAGCAAAGACCTATGAATGTGTGCCTGACTACTGAAGTCAGTAAGGTTTTTCCATATGCTTAAAGTTGCCTACACCTACAGAAAAGATCATTTTGCTGCTTCTTGTATCCTTCCACCACAGCTGTTTTTTCCAAGCCCTGGCACAACTTTGTAGCCTGATTTACAGTCCTAAGTACCAGCTAGTAAACTTATGGTTCAGTGCTTAGACTCTATCATTGGAATAACCTCATTTCCATCTATTATCTGTTTGCAATACAGATGACTCAACTCCAGGTTAGCCAAGCCTTTCCTGCAACTGCAGATGAAGGGCCAGCAATATCTATCCTTGGTTTAAGGAGGCTTTATGATCCCCAGATATCATGTTCCTAACTGTTTATCAGTCAGTTTATTTATTGACTTTTATCTATTCTATTTTTACTTACCTATTTTAAGATGTTCACTGAGGCAGGAAAGCTTTCCTGCTGCCAAATTTTGTGCATTTTTTCTCATGCTCAAGTCACTCATTTTATTCCAGCAACAAGCATTTTTCCTAGTGTTGTCGCAGCCTTTCTAATTGAAGGACATGGTCACCTCAAGAGATACAGCAGTGTTTCAAAATTGTTATCTCAGCATGGTGTCTTTGACTGCACTGCTCTTTCCCATGCTACTGTGCATAATCAGGTGCAGAGCAGCAGAGGGCAAATGAACGTATCTACGATATCCCTGGACTGGGTGCCCTTCTCTTGCATAAGAATTTATGATCATTTTATGTGTGTTACTCTGGACACTAACTGCATATTCCCTCTCCTAGAGTAGATACCAAGTACACTGCAGGAACACTGGTTTCCTTACAGTCTATGAATCTAACCTAAACACTAACTATTACTTAATAGTATGTAATACCACAACCAAGAGAATAATCTTTTCTATTCTTAACAGTACTACCTAGATAAAAAGGGTAATAGAAAAAATAGTTATATTCTCTAAAATTATATTTCTTGTCTACTTAATAATATTTGAGGAGTATTTTGATATTTTATAAGTTAAAGAAAAGCCATTACTCCAATAGTTACTGATAAAACACAAAGCTGACAGGTAGATCTTGTAGTCTTCAAAGGT